AACTTCATTTTAAAAAGATTGGCTCCTGAATAAAAACCTTGATCAAGTTCTTAATTTTAACCATGGACTCATAAATCTATCTAAATAACAGAAGTTGCAATGGAAACTCAGACCTGCAGAAAAAAAATTGCCTGCTATGAGCTATTAAAATTGTGTTATTTTAAGTGACATGCTCATTTCTAGCTGTTTCTTTTGTCATTTATGGTAGCTGCTAGATCATAACTAAAGCCTACTGCAGCTTGCTGTGTAAAGGTCTATATGATTCCAAAGCTACCTATGCTACCATTTTATTCTGAAGCCACCTTTCTTTTTTTGTGAGCCAGGCAAAAGGATTCTTGTGTTAGTTTGTATTTTAGTCACTGGATAATGTAAACTTATGGACTTGATTTAACTAACATGATCCTACTTTGTTCTGAAAGTTGGCTGGAAACTGGGAAGGCAGAAATGTTCATGTGCCTGTTTGTAGTAATCCCCAAACCTTATTCACAGCTGGAAAGACATCATCAGTCCTACTGTTATTTTGAAGGAAGGAAGCAATGACAAAAAAAATCAAATGGGATCATAGTACAAGCGGGTATGCTACAGTGTTTTGTTCTACAGAGCCCCTTGAAGCCACAGAAAAAGCCTGAGCAAATGGTTCAGGTGGGAATCTGAACCCACCTTAATCAGCTGAATTCCTGTCTCTTGAACTGAACCCAAACTCTTGCAAGTTCCAATTCAGCGGCATAGTGTAATGAGGCAAATGTCATCATGCTGTGCCTGCTGGGTCAGAGGATCATTGTGCTCTGGGATCCCAAGTCCTGGAGTGCAGGGAGGAATTTGAGTTAAGATTAGGATTCACCACACTTTTGGGTTAACATCCAAACTTGAACTTTACTGGGTTTTCCCATCCCTAACCTGCAGAAAACCTGGGGTAGTCTAATGCACTGCAAGTAGTGTGCTAAAAGTCTGGTTTAAGACCCCTGCAAAAGAAAAATATTGCTGTAGACATGTATTGGAATTCTAAGGTAATCTCTGCATACCCAATACATTGGTGAGTTTTAATTAATAGCACTCTTATGGTATTTACAGAATGATGAAAAGAAAACAATCTATTGATAGGGACGCTGCAAATTCTGGCTAATAAATGGGATGTAACCAAAAGAAATTGCTGATCATATTTTAAGGTCTTTTACCAAATAACTGGCTCCAAGATGATGGCTTAAGCTAAAAAGCATAAAAATGGAGTAACACTCAAGAATACCAATGTGGTTAAAAACAATTGAGCAAAAAACAAGTCTGGCCCCTCTATCATGGGGCAGCACTATAAACAGATTTTTAAGCCTCTTTTACCTGTACCTTTTTCAGATTAAGCAAATAGATAAAAATAGTTGTAGTAGCCCCAGTGGTGTTGCTGTTAGGAATGCAGTGCTTGGAATACATGACAATTATGCTGTACTTAGAACATGGCATCACTGTTAACATCTGTACCCTCGTTAATCTTACTTATGTGCAAGTTCCAGTAAACTGGGCACTATCTTTGTGGAAACAACCTTCCTAGCAAATCTTTCTTTTTAGCTAGCTATCTCAATTTGTTTGTCAGTGTCTAGTTTATAAATCTGGCATTTGTTTTCCCAGGGTATCGTACTCCTGTTTTGTAACACTGAATAGCTTTACTGGCAGAGCATTTTATACCTGTATGTTTTTCTGCTTACAGGGAATGATTCAGCATCTGGGGCTTTCAGGGCTTGTCTGACAGCACGAGTGTGTGTGAAATGTAATATTAAGAAAATATACAAATGATGCCATGATACATACTAATGCATGCAGTGTGATGCACTAATCGACATTTAAAGTGACAATGGAATGAGATGAGACTTTTGACATATTGTTTTATAGGAGAGAATGTGATCGTCATACCACAGACACAGCTTTTAAAACCATGTCTAAATTAGTCAGCTATTAAATACCAGATTGTGATTGAGTAGTTGCACCATGCAAAGACAAGACACACGTAGACATAGTCACAGGGAAGAAGAGATGGTAAAGATAACTTTAAGCTTTCATTGTGCTCTTAGGACTTTAGGCTGGAAAGTGGCTGAGACAGCTGCGACAGCTCCGGACATAAATGAGGCACAGGGCTAGCATTACTGGCCAGGCAACACAGGCAGCTGCTTAGGGCAGCTAATTGAAGGAGGTAGCAAAACCGGTGTTCACACACCTCACACATATTCATTGGGCTGCCTCAGAGGGGCACCTCAAAAGTCTGGGTATGGGCAGAAGCAAGCAGGGCAGCTCTGGCATTGTCAAGCCTCCACTCTAGGGCTATGTCTGGTGTCTGCCCTGGCTAGGCTACAGGTACGTAGGGAAGGCAGCAACATTTTGGTTACTTAGGGAAAAAAAATTCCTTGCACTGGTCCTGGTTAGGCAAACCTTGGAGCTTCCCAGAGTACCCATAACAGTAGGCACCACAGTCCTGGTCTATGTTTTTCTCTCATCTTCAATCTGTATATCCAGGTGAGGGGCATGTATAGACAGGCTGTCTGATGCAGTGCCTGCACTGGGGGAAATTCTGCCCTGAACAAGGTGCTTCGAATGGCACTGCTGCTGCTTACATCACAGTGGGTCCTCCCAAGGAATATACTTGTATGTGCTGTGCCTTCAACATCCTTCTCCATGTGGTATGGGAAGGAAAATGTCAACTTTTACAGAGTATCTTAATCTAAAGGAAACATTCAACATATCATCTCATGATAAAAGATTAAGACAATCTTCTACATTCTCTAACTGGAGAGCAGTTTGAAAATACACTGCTCAGAGGATGTAGTTTGCAGAAATTGTTGCAAAGGATGTTGCAGAAAAGCATCTGCAACATCCAGGTGGTCATCACTCTGTGTCTTCCTAATGTATACATTTAGTTAAGCCGAATAAGAGGCACCTGAGTCAGAATCAAAGGGAGACAAGGTCAGCATTTGAGGATTCCTTATCCACTGAAGTACTTGAAAACTGTTGGTTTGGATTTCCTCCCCAAACCTTTGCTTTTCTCTTGGACTTAGATTAGTCAATGGGACCATTTATATGCTTAAAATTGTGCATGTGGTTAAGTGCTTTGCTGGGTAAGAGGCTAAATGACCTTCACTGACTGATAGATTATTATTTATTTAAATCCCTAGAAATGCGAAAAAGGAGACGAGGCATAACAATGTACACTATGTGCCTTCAACATATACTATTATATTCTAGGTGCAGCAGCATACAAACAAGCTAACCATCAAGCTATTTCTCAGGCTTTGGATGACACACAAGAAATGATCCATTAGTTGAACAGGAAAGACAGGATCACCCTGTTAAGGCCCCCATCCTCTCCCCACAACATTATTACCAGATTCTGAAAGATGTAGGGTAATCAGCCCTGTTTAGGCAAGAAGTCTATTTTGCATGAGATGGAGAATTATTATTGTAATGTTTCACAGCTGCTTTATTTAAAAACAAAAAACACAAAAAGCGGGGTGGGAGGGGACACCTACTTTGTCTAATGAATTCAGATGAGGTACTGTGTCTGCAGACTGCAGGGAGTTCACAGAACTTTCATAGAAGCTAATTAAGTGTTGAACTAACCCATATGCTAATATCTCAGATAGAAATGATGGAATTTCACCCCTACAATTCACAATTTCACTCCTTCTGTACAAGACAGCATACTAGCTATCCAGACACTATTCTGCAATAGGGAGAAATGAAGCCTTCTGTGCAAATGTGCTGTTTTAATTAATTTATTGATACGTATACATGCTTTTTTTTAGGTTGCAAGTCATTTGGAGAAGGCTTCTGGAAAGTCTTCTTTCTGGGAAACATCTTGGAATAGGCTACAAGGAATTATTTTCAGTGAAATCACAGATTTCACAGTTTATTCAAAGTACTTACTGTAGCTCACAATGTCTGTAACTTACTTTCTGTACATTACCATCTCACTCATACATACTGCATGACATAGTAGGGTTCCCACCTGCTGCATGTGGCTTAGGTTTCTGTCTCACCCTTTAACTAGTTGAGAGGCAGCCTGACTATTCAGTAAGCATGCAAGGTCTCGTATAATCCTGCTGTGATGTGGACTCATAGTGAGTCTAGTCCTAAAGCACAGAAATCAAGAGTGTCTCCTCCTTGAAGCAAAAAAATCTTGTTTTTCATCCATATATGTTCTCATTATTAAGAAAATATGTCTCATAAAATGTTCTCTCTGGCAATGGGTAAATTTCAATATTAATGTAATCATATTTAAAATAAAAAACCCTCTAGTAACATTTAAAATGGAAAAGATTAAAATTAAGGATGAATAAATATTAGTATTTTGCCTGGAAATTACAGCTATGCCCTTAGTTTCCAAGTTGTTTACAGTCCTTGAACAAGACCCTCATTTCTTTCCAGAAACTTATATCATTTTTAGGTCCATGTCCTATCGAGAAAGAAGATCCTAAGGATATGGATATGTTCAATATTCTTTGAAAACCATCTAGAGCTTATAGTTTCGTATTTGCACACGGCAACAAAGTAGTCATGTTCCTTACTTACGTTTTATATTATGATTAGCCAGTTACTGAAATCAGTGCTGCTCAATCTTTTTGCCTCAAAGAATATGCCTTTCACAAAAAGAAGCCTGCATAGGTAATTTGCTAAGCGATAAAAAACCAAGCATTGAGAAATTGATTTTGCTTATAAATCCCATGATTGACAACAGCAATTGTAAGAGGCAATTCTATGCTCCAGGTTATTCGCATATTCTTTGAATCAATATGGTAATGCACTTCTTTTCTGAAACATCTAGCTTTATTTTTTATTACGCCCTGTTTTTGTGCTTGGAAGTCTTGACTTTTGACAGCAGTTATTACATCCCAGGCCAGAGAAAGAGAAGATTTGTGTTCTTCATTTAACATTTTTTCTTTTAAATAAACAAAATGACCCACAAGGACCCACAAATGACCAACATGAATAGAATTTGAAAATGTCAAGACCCAGTTACTCACTCGTGCCAGACTGGTTCCAGATGGAACTTTATAAGGGACGTATTTCCTGTAGATGTGCCCAACTCTAGAACATGGAACGTCAAACATGCCACCTCCACACATCCAAACCTGAGAAGGAGGAAAAAGATGTTGAAAACAAATGAGTGAATGTTAGGAGAGGAGATGGAATAAAAAGGTGGAAATGATTATTCAAAATAGTAGGATGATTGAACTTCCTACATCATTCTGTACTGACTCCTTTTTAGGAATGCCTAGGAGCTAAAATAATTTTTCCAACTATTTAAGTTGGTCTAATAACAGATATCAGATTCACCCAAAGAACCTTGTTTGCCTAGGAGTGGAAGATAAGTAGAATTTCATTCTACAGAAAGAACTGATATTATAAATTACCAAATTATATATAACTAATTACTCCATCTACTATCACTGCTTTCCACAATGTAAGTAAGATGTCTTATCTAAGAATGTTATTTTTCAAATTTACATATTTGAAAAATTTCAATGGTGGTTTCAGATGGGACATATTAAAAAACTGGTCACCAACTGGGCAATTAAATACACAAACAGGTAATAATTTAGAGATTAAACTGAGACTTTTAAAGAAATCTGGGCTATGACCTACATCAGCAAGTCCCCAAAAGTGTCAGACAAGGCAGCAAATAGGGATATTTACATTATTTTAAAACCTGTCACATATCAAAGTGGTTTCAAATTCACCTACAGAACAAGTTCTGGCACTACCAAATCTATACCCCAGGGTACTCAAGGAGCTGGCTAGCATCATAGCTCGGGCCCTGGCACGGATCTTCGAGAACTCCTGGTGCTCTGGTGAAGTGCCCAAAGATTGGAGGAAGGCCAATGTTGTGCCTATCTTCAAGAAAGAGAGGAAAGTGGATCCGGCAAACTACAGGCCATCAGCCTGACCTCTATCCTGGAAGGTCTTAGAAAAGATTATCAAAGAGGCCATTCATAACAGACTGGCTGATGGCAACATCCTGAGGGATAGCCGGCATGGGTTTGTTGCGGGTAGGTCTTCCTTGACAAATCCTATTTCCTTTTATGACCAGGTGACCTATCACCTGGAAAAGGGAGAGGAGATTGATGTCATATATCTTGACTTTAAAAAAGCCTTTGATCTGGTATCCCATGATCACCTCTTGGCAAAACTGGCCAACTGCAGCCTC